CGGACAGAGAGCGACGCCGCTGGCTGCCGCTAATGACAGAAGTGCTTCATCCCAAACGCTCCTCCGCCGCGGTCTGAGGGCTTTGCTGCACGAGGACCTCCCAGCACAGTTCCTATCCTTATTTTTTCACATGTTAAAACACCTGCAGGTAAAGCATTGCCATTTAAATATCAGTCACGTTTCTACACTCCGCTTTACACATGATTACCAAGTGAATGAGGCTTGCTTTTGAAAGCGGATACCCTAGTGCTGTCTCAAAGCGCAAGAGCACCCCTGCACACAAAAAACTGCAGCCGGTACCCAAAACAACGGATTCCGGCACAAAAATTAACTCTCTCATTCAGTCGATTGCTTTTATTTTGTAAACTGCTTGGGAAGGCTGCTATGAGTGTTTGTTATGCAGTACTAAAAGTAGTCCTCATCTCGTGAAACGCTGGTGACAATAGCCACCGGCCTCTGCTCTCCGAACCAGCGAGGAGCACGAGCGTTCTCGGCGCAAGCACTTCTCCCGACCTAAACCTCAGCGTGCGTGAGAGCTCGTGCGTTTGGAGACGGCCTTGTGCCCACAGGAACATCCATGATGTTCCTAGTGCTTTTCAGAAAAGCAAGCCAACGACGACGACAAAGGTTCACGTGCAATTTAGGAAAATTAATTTAGCAAAAGGCGAAAAAGGAAAATTGTTTGCACTATTTATCAAGTCAGCTGCTCTCTTGCATAAACACAAAAATGCTTGCATATAAACAGGGCCTTGGGCAGCCTGAGGGATCCTTTCTGCGGCTGGTTTTGCACTGGCACTGCTCCACCGTCCTGGGGACCCATGCTCGTGCACATTACCCGTGCACCACCCTGACTTTGGGCCGGAAAAGCCGGAAAAGGGGCTTCAGGAGCACTCCCACCAGCGGGAGAACCTGAGCTGCTTGGAAATTTCCCAGAGCTACCACACATACACAGCTTTAGAGATGCGTTATATGTACCATTAGACAATGCACACAGCTATGCACACGCTATGCATAGCTCTATTGCTCGGGACTGTTTAATGTGGGTGTCACACGCATGCACACACGCGCACGCACATGCGCAGATGTTCTCGGTAGGTGCAGGCAGGGTGCTATGCAGCAGCGCCGAACTCTTCCAGCAGCGGCGTCAGACACAGCGCTGGCAGTGAGGAGCTCGTGCTTATTAGCATACTCAACGAATCAAGGTAATTTTTGTGCATTGCATAATTATTTCCTCTTCTGCCAGAGCGTGCTTTCATTACTCCCATAAAAACGCATAGTTTAACAATGAAATAACATTGGTCCCTGAGCTGACCACCGCTTCATGTCTATTTTTCTCCCTGTGCTTTCAGCAATGTAAGCCCAGTTAATTAAACGTCTGTCATTAGGATATAGCTAAAGCTTCCTAGGTCTCAAAGCCGCTTTAGTGCCCTCAGTCTGGCTGGGTTTGCGCCACGAACCACTCCGCCGGCCCTCCCAGCTATCGGGGGACGCGTGCCAGCGGGCTGAGCAGATGGGGAGGGCCGGTGGCTCTGACCCTGCACCTCGCCGCGCCGCACAGCGTTGGGACAGTTGAACGCCGTCAAGCACAGGAAGAAGGAAGAGAAGCTGACTGCAATCTTTTTTAATGGAACTAGTTTGAACCAAACGATTATCAACATGAAACATCAGATTTAAAGGGAATTTTTATTATTGACTACTTAGAAACTCTATAAGTCTATGCAAAATTACTTAAAATAATACTAAAAACTGTGCGAGTACTTCGTTTACCTACATATCTGAAAGCCGATCAGGTCCTCAGTGCACTCAGAAACATTTGGGGCGAACACGTGCCTAGCGCTGCGGGAGCAAAGCGCAGGTCTCTGACCCAAGCAACGTGAGAAGCTCCACGGGTTTCAGAGGACCGAGCCCCGCGCCCCGTGTCCCCTGCCCTCCTTCTCCCTCCTTTCCCAACCATCTTCCCTGGGGAGTGGTGCTGCTTGCTCGATTTGTACCAAAATTTCCATCCGTGCAAAGATGCAATGTTAACTAGAACAATTTTTGAATAATTCAGCTGAATTCACACTGAGGGTCAGATTCTTTTGCAATGTCATCACCAAACGTTTATGACAAACAATGTTTCCCTCCTAAGTTAGTAACTGAAAATGAAAGTGCTGAACTTTATGCTGTAAAATGCAGCTAACTGTACAGTCATAAATGCCAACGATTCTTAAATAAATGCAACACAGCAGCCAGAACTACTCTCTGCTACATAAATTTAATGTGTTACATAAACAGACCTGCAAAGCCCTCACTGTAAAAACAGCTAAAACATTAATATTAGAAAGAATAAGGATATTTTCATTTTTTTCCCTCAGCTTTATGTCTTATATCACTATTTTGCCTCCTTGGACCCATATTAGCAACTCAGGTAACATGTTGTGATTAACTCTAATCACCATTCAAACCTAATTTTAATTTTGTTTTGGAGATAACATCTGCTTTTCATTTCTGTGACTATTGGCAGCCAGCAAGATACTCATTCCTGTACCTGCATCTTTAGATTCCTGTAACAGGAACAGTACTTTAAAAAACCCTGATTTTGCTCCATGCCAATGGTGCAACAGGTTGTGCCTGGGAGGGAAGGAGGGGAGAGCAGGCCACGAGTGAGACCCCGAGGGGTGTCCCAGGCCACCACGGCCCCAGGAGCTTGAGTCCAGTCCCATACCAGCACTACCCCTTCCACAGAGCAGGAGCTCCCTAGTGCTGCTTGGTGCCACCTTGTCCTGCTTCCTCCAAGCTTTGAAATCGGTGCAGATGTCCCAAGTGGCCCCATAAATTCCCATTTCTAAGTGTGTGTCTTTCTACTGTAATCATCTGTTTAACCCATGCTCAAAAAAGGTGTCAGACGAGGAAATGCCTCCCTGTCAGGGCCTCCCTGCCAGTTTATCAGTTCAGTCTTAGTCAGTGTTTGTTTGGCTAAACCAACGGGCCTCTCGTTTGATGGCTGGATAGCGCTTCATGACACGCCAAGTCTGGGTCATCTCAGTCTAGTTGCAGTGAACAGCAAACGAGCCCAAAATAAAGACCCAAGAACCTACCACAAAATTCAGCCTCCTACAGAGGCCGTGGGCAGACAGGCTGGCAGGTGATCAGCCCGAACGCGCGGTTGGGAGCGCGCCCATTCCTCTCCAAGAAGCGTGTTTCTCCTGACGAGGCAGCCATGACGGCAGTGCCACCCAGCACCCGCTGCAGGGCAACCCGACTGCGCCAGCTGCCAGCACTGAAAGCAGCTGATGACTGATTAAATGTTGTTCCCTGTATGAAAGCCATTGTAGCCCGCTCAGAATTTCCACCAGCTGCTAGTGTTTCCAAATGAAATTTCATGTATTAATTTTGACTGGGAAGGGCAAATAGTGTGAGGATGGAGTGGATTCTTCAGGTGATTAAATTTCTTTTCATGACAGTTATGCTCAGATGGGTTGTCCGAGTTTGCGGTCTCTGTATGAGAGCTATGCATGGTAGCTTGTTTCTTTTAAGGGTCTTTACCCTCACAGCTCATTCCCTTGGTCAGTAAGAGCCCGGATCAAGATAGCTGCAAGGCTCACTTGTTTTTCTGGCTCCCTTCCCATAATGTAAAAGTGAAAGTGAGATGGGAAATCGGGAGCATTTTGTTTTGACACAGAAGAGACTGAAATGTCTCCACTATGTGGCTGGAAAGGGCATAAATGTGTAAAAGCTAAAACCTTGCTTATAAGCTCGAATAATCTCACACGCTCAGAGCCATCTCTTCACCCCCAGTCCCCGCAGCAGTGACCATCACGGACACGTTGCACTCTTATTAGCTTCCCACTGCTTCACTCCACTCTGCTCCCTAAAGTCCATCCTTACCGGAAGAGCTCCCAAAAAGCCCAAGTAACGACTAGCTAAAAGCCTAACTCAGGTGAAAACATGCTTTTCTTTCGCTACCTTCTCTACCCCACAAATAATTTTTTAGTTACTCTAAGAGTCAATTACAAGTACGATTTTGGATTAATTTTAAGTACTACTCTATTTCAAAAGAGGGAAATATGAACTCAGATTTGCGTCTCTTTGAAAACTCCATATGTCTGCAAATTTACTTGGCATAAGAGAGACCAGATAAATAGAGCAAAGCAAGCGATGCGGTGGGAGAAGCAGCCCATATAGCATGAGTGGCAGAGCCGGCAAGGCATGAGCTTGTGCAGGTGGGAAGGATAATTAACTCCCAGGATTTCCCACACACCTCAGCTTTAATCAAACAGCTTCTGGTGGATTTTACATATGAGAGTGAGAAAATTTTAGTCCATGAGGAAAACAGTTCTCTTGAAGCGAAGATATTTTCATCATCCTGCTTCTGTTGATAATAAAGTCCATTTCTGCTCTCTCGGACACTACTTGCTTTTAAGGCCACTCCATTTATTTAAGGCTTTGTAAAATGCATGAGTGCAGCCCTATACTCTGCATACTTCCATAGCATCTCGGTCAAATAGTTTTCAAGTGTTTTAAATTTAAACAAGGCATTGAAAGCAGGTATTCTGGAAAACTGGGTTCCACCAGAGTAAAGGTGGCATAAAAAACAAGCCACAGTTCAGCCAGAAGGGGCCTGCAGAGAACTTCCTTGGCACAGAGGAGCGCTCTGCCAGCGCAGGCAGGCTGCAACTGTCCTGGTCCGACCCTCTGGTCCCAAACTCCTCCTCAGGAAAGAGGCTATGTTTCTGGCGTAGCCGCCTTCCCAGAGCCCAGCCACACGACTCCTCCCTTGGCCTAAGTACAAAGAGAGACCACTGCCGGCATGGTTTGAGGACTGGCCTGCAGGTGCGAATTAAATGGAAATTCAGCTGCTGACCCTCCTCATCATACTATCAGGAGAAGAATAACCACTTCGCAAAGCAAAATGAACATTTAAAATGCTCATGTTTTTAAAAAATCGTATTTACCAGCAAAGGAGTTTAAGGTTTGGTTACTTCTCATGAAGGCAACCTTAGGTCTGCTGAGGCAAGGAAGGGAAGGTAACCTGGTTTAGCAACTCAAGGAAATCGGTTGCCTCTAGTGCAATGAGAGCTATTGTACTCCCTCAGGCTAATTTGCAAGAGGAATTCACTCATCCCTTGTATCCAAAATGGCAGGAGAGTGTCCCGGTGCCCGGTAGCTGGCTCCGCAGGAGCTGGCAGACCACCGCGAAGGATCCCTCAGGGCTGAGCTCACGCGGTCGCCTCCAGCCGCGGCCAAAGAGCGCGAGCCCAGACGGCAGCTGGACCGGCGACGTGCTGCGGCTGCGCCCAAGGGCCAGCGAGGTTCCACGCAGCGGGCAGGAGTCAAACGGAAGAAAAAGGAAATATTCGAAATGGAGACTGGCTGAGCGGAGCAGGAGGCTGCGGAGCAGCCTCCAGCCAGAGTCAGTCCTGAGGGAGCAGAAACAACCCAGAAAACCTCCTCTGACCCTCTTTCAACTATGCAAAAACATCTAGCCACTGTATTCTAAATAATATCTTAAACAGTTAATGGCATGGCTTTCCTCTTTCACAGTATAAGGAAATGGAAGGTAAACTGGTTCCTGAAATGGTTTCCTGGGAGAGATATCTAAAAAAAAATCCCTGACTCCAGACTTTGAAGGACATAAAATGACAGATTTTTGCCATTTCCAGCACAATTAATTAGGAAAAACCTTTCTTTGCCCATCCACTGTCTTACCTGGAAATTTTCCTTAAAGCTTTGCTGTAAACTGTTGTCACAAGAGTTGGCTCTCTCTTTATCTGCCTGTTGCACACAATCATGGGGTATGCAGGATTGGAATTTTTTCTATTTCATTATGTCTCTTAGACAGGTTTGAAACCATTACATCCACTTGTAAAAGCTTTTTCCAGTTTTCATGAAGACCATAGAAGCTATTAGAGCTGAGCAAATAACCCGTTGCAAGTAATTTATTCCATTTATTCCACTTCAACTTCATTTAAAATTTTTCTACAGATTTTGTTACAGTCCTTGGTTTGAGCAGTTAAATGACAATCAGAAATGATAACTGGAATTCAGGACATACTGCTAGATCAGTTTTGACTGGGCATGTACAGTCATCAATTTTATTTTCTAGGCATAAAAGCATTCATTCAAGGAGTGTAAAGTGTCATTAGAAAATACTTGGGTAAAACGTTCAAAGATAAGCGTTTCAGAAATATCTTCTAATATTTGCTTTAAACTACAAGAAAAGCAATACTGTTTGTAAGTACAACAGATTATTTGCAAAAAATGAACATGGAGGAAACTTAAATACTTTCAGAGCAGATAGTAACTTATTTTACTGCACATTGAAAAGAAAATATAAACGAATTTACTCAGCTCTGATAACTAAACTGCAGCATTAAGGATAGGTCAGACTTTGGTCTTCTATACACTGAAGGGTGTACCACAGCTATCTGACATGTGTTCTCTGATACAATAGCAAAATCTTAATTATTAAGTGTTATTATCTACTTAAGTGAGTATCTTAATAGAGTTCAATATCACGGTATTCTCAATCCATTCTCCTTACCTCACAGGCAAGGTTCTGTCTCCTTTTCTCCTGTCCATCTCTCTCTGGGGAACTGGATACCAGCGAAAATTAAGTTTCCAGTTAAACCCTCCATAAGTCATATCGGACCCAGCCATGTACTCAAACGTGTCATCACTGATCACATCAATGATTGGGCAGACAACAGTTTTCCTGTAAGAAAAGATCAGCTATTTTTAAATAAAATAATTTAATTCATGTAATACACTAAATATCCCATTCTTTTCCTTTGTGACTTCACTGCATAAAAACCAGTTTACTAACACTTGGTGCAGGGCTTCTCTTCCAGGAATCGGGCCACGCAAAATTCACTTATCCCTGCTGTCAGTGGCTTTTTGGAAACATTGACTCCTCGCTGCATTCCTAATAGCTGAAAGCTGCCAACACCTAACCCCGCTCACAGGCTCCCGGCTGAGCTGCCAAACCCTCTCCAAACAGCAAGCGCTACCGCCGCGCTCACCCCCTCAGCATAAAGCCTGCGGTACTGCTGCAAGCGCAGCCGTTGCCATTACCGCCATGAACGCAGCTGTGCCGTAGCTGAGGACGGGGAGCTGCTGCTGCTGCCCTGCTCCTCCCGGGGTGCCTCTGCAAGTGCTTTTGGAGCATATGCAATGTGTTTCCCATAAATGAAGATAAATTCCAGCTTCCACGAGTGCAGTTAAGCAGGCAGGCTGGTACCACGCACACACACGCACGCACGGCTGCCGCTTCACCGCGCAAAGCGCGGGCTTTGTGTGCCACAACGCTATCAAGTGCCGCAGGCTGGTGAGCACGGCAAGGTTTTTAGCTCTGCGGTGGAGCCTCCGTGGGGCCGCGCAACGCTGCCCATGGACACAGCCCTTACCTGTCCTCCTTTATTCTCGCCAGGAGGGGCTCCAGCCAGCCCACCGTGCATTCGCAGTGCGCATCGAGGAAAGTTATGACCTGGCCTTTGGAAGCTGCGGCGCCTCTGAGCCGAGCACGGATCAGTCCTGACCTCTGCTCCATCCTGATAATTTTTACTGACAATTCCAAATTTTTCACATAGTTCTCTAGTGAGGCCTTCAAAAAATCTGCCAAATATAATTAGAAAATTAGAGAAATGGAAGAAAAACATTTTTGTTTCAGCTACGTTCAGCAGCTTAGGAGGATTCCAAATATGACTGTACAGGTTAGGCGTCATGCTAGTCACTCCACAGACTGCTCCTGCAAAATCCAGCAGTGTATAAATACTGGCAAACTAAAGGCTGAAGCATAACACAAGAAATAGACTGTGACATATCTACAGGTCTTCCAAAGCGCGAGAGCTGAGCCATGCAGGTCTGGACTGGACCTCTGTCCAGCACAGCCAGACCTAAGCAGTCTGTACATATACACAAGCACATACCTGAATGTTTCATGGAAATAGCACAGAAATAAAAAGATTTTGAACAATGCGTGATCAGTTTCCAAAAATAAATCAGCAAGTGCAAAATGACTACACCTCTGCTAATTTGTTAATGGCTAATTACAAATAAGGCTATTTTTGATAAATTTCACTGTTTGAGCACTTAAGACTCCAATATTCTTTGCTTCTAAAAAAAAATTTAGTCACCCGGTCTAAAGCCTTCCTCTACCTTCTGGCATGAAGAAATATTAAGCCTACTCATTTTGGGAAGCAGGGAAATTCAGGAGAGTAATTAGAAAGATGCTATTGCTATATGGGGCAGATACAAATGATGGCTTAACTCGCATCCTCTTTACAAGACAGAATTGAGGACCCAAGGGAACCCTATCGCATGTCTGCGGTGGCAGGGTGAGAGGTCGACCTGCATGCTGGGCACTACTACATCTGGAAATGTGCTGTATGACTCCTCCGTGCTGCAAAAGAGCAGCATTCTGCCAGCACTGTAGCGTACGCTGCAGAGAATTTCCTGTCCTCTTCCAAAGGTGTTTTTGTGATTTTCCAAAATCTGCAGCTTCATAAAAAGAAATATAAAACTAATACTAACGAAGCGTACAGCAGGAGATTATCAGATTTTTTTTTTTTAATCAATTGAGTAATTGCAAATATGTTGTATTTGCCATTAACAAAGTGATATTTGAAACACCTGGCTTTTCCAAGTAAATTTATTTCTCATTCCATCAATTCCATTAATAGAATATGATTCCATTTCCAAACAATATTGTTTTCAGTTGTAAATAGTTTTGTTTCTAAATCCTGATTTTTTTTTTAACCATCAAAAAGCTCAATCCTTATTAAATAAAAGACGACAAAACCATATACTGGCTTTTCAAAACAGCACTGCAAGCAAATTGGCTCAGTCCTGACTTTCAGGAAAACTTGAAATACAGAACAGGGCTCTTTTTTGAGAGACAGCGAGAGAGAGGCAGAGATGTGTGAGAAAATTCGGCCTTTTCCAACGCTATGAAAGGATGAACTGGTAGATGATAGCGCAAAACGGCACTAACGAAATTCTGGCTTGGAGCACCGTATACAGACTTATTAGCAACTTTTTTCTTAGCTACTATTTGAAAACGTGTTTTAACTCTCCCCACATATACAAGAGTCCATTTGTTCAACAAACAAATCCAGGAAGCAGTTAGCCCACCCTGCTGAGCGCGGTACGTTAGCTTCATCAGAGACTAAGCAGAACCGCGTTTTACAACCCCGTCTGCAGGAGCGTCACTCGCGAAGCTAAAAGGAAACGTGAAATGTGACTCTCTTCTCGTGTTATCGCATACCCCAGCCAGAGTCCAGCAGGAAGGAAAACATACCTCTTTCGCTGGCATCGTCGACCAGGATGATTTCAGCAAGCAGGTGACGCGGAGACCGGTTTATGACGCTGTAAACAGTCCGAAGCAAGGTACTCCAGGCTTCGTTGTGGAACACAATAACTACGCTTGTGTTTGGGAGCTCGTCAGGGTAGACTTTGGTCTTGCATCTGCCCAAACGGAAAGAAAAAAAATAAGAAAAGAAAAGGCGGGGGGAGAGTTAATCTTTAAGAAAATATACAAACAGGAACGCCTGGAGGAAAGCGGGCTTCAGGCTTGCTGAAGAGGACACATTGCAAATGGATTATCAGTCTCTTACAGCTCCCAAATTGAAGGCCTAAGAGGCAACGAGAATACTGAACGCTAGTCCAGACGAGCGCGCACCGCTGCGCTTACCGCTCCCAAAACCGCGCAGGTCTCCTTGCACCTGCTGGTGAATTCACTGAGAAATCAATACTACACAGTGTCAACTTAAACATGCCCAGACATCTCAAATAGAAAATTCTTAGTTACATACAAGCAAATAGCGCAAGTAGTAAACGTACAGGTCAAGTAAGTCTTTCAAATGTGACAAATCCCCAGTTCTGTGGCTTAAGTACATAGGCCTCTGAAACTACAGGCCTCCAAGACCTTCCCATCTTTGGTAGTCTCTCAAAAATGAAGGGAAAAAGGTATTTTCCGGAACTCCCTGTCTTGTATGCCCATTCACTGGAAGAGAGAGAGATGAATAATTTTACCTATGTCCTGAAAGCGTAGAAATTAAGGCAAAGTGAACAACAGATACCCAACATTGCTGATTTTGTGAAAGCAAACTGAAGTTATTTGTTTTGTACGTACAAAGGACAACCCAACCATCTGTGTACTCACACCAGATCTGACATATTTCACAAATACACAAACACCTGTATCAACCTGGGAACATAAACCATTTTATTTTATTTACACATTTAAAACGTATTCTTAATCGTTACGACTTAAAATACTTTCCACTTTTTTGATATTTCAATATTTCATGATTTTGTTATCATTGTCATCCTAATTCAGGAAATCACTTCCAGAATGGACAGGTGAGCACATATTTACTTTTTTCAGCAGAGGTGTACACACACTAGTGACTGAAATTACATGTAAAGTGGGAAGAAATTAAGTATATGTTTTTAGTGCATCTTCTTTGTAGGACTGCAAATCTGAAGCTTCACTAAATCATTTCTAAATAAGTGATTTATTTTTGCATTTACATACCCTGTATCCTCTAATTCTCATTTTTCGCCTGTATTATTTGAAAAATCAACTAGTCCAGCAAATGCCACATTTCTTTAGGAGCAACGCTTGGTTGCTCCCGGTCAATTCACGTAACCTTTCAGTTAAGAGTCCACAGAATGAAAGAATAAGGTCCCTAAAGAAAAGTCAGGTTCTCCATACAGTTTCTTCCTCTCTTAACCATATCCTATCACAATAAAACTCTCTTTAACCTTTTGTTCTGCCTGGCTGACATTAAGAAAAAAAAATACATAAAATATAACTGTGATCCAAGCTTTCAAAACAGCAGGTAAGGAGAGAATACAGAAAAATACAGAATACCACCAACTTCTGCGGTATAGGTAAAAGGTTCACGGTCTACCCATTGATCACAAGATCTGAAGGCAGAAATCGCAGCGTTAACAGTAACTACAGATGTACGTGACTCTCTTGAAATCACTTTGATGAGAAGCCGGGCAGTCTGTTGGTCGCCACGCTACCAGGTCAGCCTCAGAAACCTCCTCCGCTGCCTGCGGACGCGCTACCACGCGTGCCGCTGCAAGGCTCCGAGAGAGCCGGGGAACCTGCTCGGCCTCGGAGGCCCAAGCTGTTCATCTCTCTAATGAGTGTCAAAGCCCTGGCCAAAGGAAAAAAAACACCCCCGTGTACTCGTTCGCAATTTCAGCAACCTGATTAACTATTAAGCGTAGGCACCTATATGATTTAGATTTACAGAGTACATATGAAAAATGGCTTTACTAGTTATCATCCATGAAGACACCTTTTGTTTAACCAGAGCTGTCTAAAGGAGCCTGAGCTCAGCAGGACAGTATGTCCAAAAAACCAAGCACTTTGAACCGACTGATTTCCAAGCCATAGCAAAAGATTTCCTTAAAAACTTAATTGTCCATGGAAGAAATATTGTGTCAAACCTGGCACCTCACAGTCACTCGTGGAAGACTGAAAAACAGAAAGGCTCAAAACAAAGTACAAAGCTCAGTACCACTTACGGAGTTGTCTTCCAGAGTTTAACATCATATTCCAGAGTATACATAAAGCTGGAATAAATTCTGCTTGTCCTGTATTTCTGAACAGGTACGTATAAGAGAAATAATTTTGGAAACTGGAAGAGAACTATTACAAAATATTTTTACAAAAAATGTTCAAAAATGGATATCAGTAGTGAAATGCCAAGACAGCAAGGAAAGGGTATTTCCTTGTTTACAGTTTAACACTATTTTATAGAGAAAATGGCATATTAAGGAACAGACTGTTTATCATTATGTAGTATTTGCCAGGAGCTTAGGTATTTTAACTATTGTTCTTGTTAATCTACGAGGTATGCTACAGTACCCAAAGAGGCTAAGGGTGATATAAGAGCTAAGGATATTAATGAAGAAGTCATGTAGCCTATGTTTTGCAATTGACCAATCTAAATGATCATAAATCTGGTTATAAAATCTGGGTACACCATAACTACTATATGTCCTTCACAGTGATTCAACATCAATTAACGTACCAGAAAGTGAAGAATGCTTCTACTTCTCTTTTTATTCACATTTGTCTCTACTTACACCAAAAGAACTTGCTGCAAAGTGTCTCCTTAGTTTCACACACAATTATGTAGTGGGATTATCCTCTCTGGAGGAAGATTATTCAATTTCCCAATCAGTTCATTCTGCAGTTATTCTGTGTACAGTGCCTCAAGTACATCAAGTGATGCACTGGGATTTGGTGATATGTGATCTGCTCATCAGGCAATTAAATCTATTCACTTTGTTTAATTTGGGTCATTTGACTTCAGCAG